TTTAATCAATACAAAAGCTCTGAAAGCTTTGGAAATAGTCACATACTGAAAAAAGGTCTGGAATTCTGATCCATCAGCGGTCTAAGTAAATTCAGTTATTGCAACCACACAGTGCTCTTTTTTTAACCACTGCCCCCAGATTCGCACAGTAGGATAAATGTTTGTACTTTCAGGTTTCAGGCTAAAACATATTTTGCTTGGTGTATTTTTCTGGAGCAATATACTTCTAAGTCCCCAAACATACTAAAATCCTTTCTTAGTTCTAATAATTTTTGAAGAGCATTTTACTCACCTTCTCATCATTTTCCATTGTCCTCACACCCTCTTGATTGTTGCTTGCGGATATTTGTCATTTCATATATATTTCAGTATTCAGATTTTATTTATCAAAAACAAATACATTTCTGGCACATCTTTTCAAATATGGAAAATCATTTTTAAACAACAGACTCCCTAATGCCCATTCAAATGAGCTCAAACACACCTGTCACACACACATCCATCTCAGCACTGATGACATGCTATAGCTTCTGATGTGCTCTCACTCATTCACACTTTTTTCTCTTTAACAGTTGAGCAGAAAGGACAGCTGGAGAAGGAGAGTGGTCTGCAGATTCTTGAGGCTGGACTGAGTGATGTAAGTCAGAGTAAAGGAGTCTTCTTTCTCTCCCCTCTTCCTCCCTCACGAATGATGACATCCTCCTTTCCCAGAGTGCAACCCCATATTGAACGTGTTTCACTCGCAGAATCTGTCCCTTAACCCTTAAATGCATGAATGTTTCGCCAATCATTATTACATATTCGGGTCTTTAGCGACCCGGACCAATATATCCAGCACGGATGGATCTCTAAGTGCTGCAATAGCAGAAACTCTCTTGATATTTTAAGAACAATTACAGAAGAATAAAATAAAGCATATTTCGTTACCTTTTGAAACTTAAAAGATTTGAGCAGATGATTTTACCATCGCTGTCATCGTCAGAGCGCACTTCCACAGCATATTCAACATCTGCCTCACATTCACGATCTCAACCTATTCTCAAAACTATCATTTTCAATGATTTCATATTCAATATTTTGATCACTGGCAGCTTATTCATCACATCCAGCATCAAGTGGCAGTGACATTTATATTTCATTGCGTATAGTAATTGCTCTGCAGTAAAGCCATTCAAACCACTTCAATTTTTGCTGATGATATTCGTTTGTTTTATGCCTGCGGTAATTATGAGTGAAACATCACGTCATCATTGTGTACCAAACAGTGCCACCTTGAGGAAAAAAAGATGCGTTGCACATACTGAGTCGTCAGATATGTAAATATAGTTGCGCAGGAAAAAATACTTACACATTTACATACCTGTCTAACTTAAAAAAATGAAGAAGGGAGAGGGAAGAGAATGATGTCCCGGGTCGCTAAAGACCAGAGGTGTGCATTTCAGGGTTAACTTAGCATTCTTTTATAGATGGTTTTTATATTAAACTCTAGAATGAAATGTCATGGATTAGCAATAGCACCACCAGCATTAAAGGGATAGTTCACCCAAAAATAAAGATTCTGTCATGTACTCTCACCCTCAAGTTGTTCCAAACCTCTATGAATTTCTTTCTTCTCCTGAACACAAAAGACGATATTTAAAAAATATGGGTAGCTAAACAGCTGCTGGTGCCCATTAACTACATACAGTAGTACATTTGTAAGAAAAATTCTAATTATGGATTGGAGACCTTATTACTACATTTGTGGTATAGTATATATTATAGTATCGTATATATTCAGTTAGGCTCATCAACCATAACTCCATCAAAAACAGCTAGAGACCTTGGAGTTATGATAAGCTGAATTTCTTTAATAATCTTTAATGAGTTTGGATGAAAGCGTCTGCTAAATGACTAAATGTAAATGTAAATGTGGTGAGCAAATACAGGTAAAGGCAAAATCATATGTTATGTCAACTAATCGGAAAAAGGCTTATGTCCAACTTGAAAGATTAAGTCCCAGAATTGAAGTCCTGTTATCATTGTAGTTGGTTCTAAGATTGTTGCGAACTGCATCTGATGCAAAATCTCCGGTGGTTGCCGTATTCATACTGTATGCTATGGTATTTATGTGTTATTCCCAAAAATACTATTACTGTGGTGCAGGGCTCCAGACTGTGACCAAATGGTCGCTATGAACTCCTATTTACAAAATTCAAATCACAAATAATACTACTGATGAAAAAGAACAGGTTGAATGTTAACCACTTTCGTTTCCATATAGAACTTTAAACTATGATAAAAGTTCATCAGCATGCATTGATTAATCCCATGTTGTAGCACAAAAAAAAAAAATAATAAAAATAAAATATTGCGACCAACTGTCACAATTCACTCGGCGAGCAAGGAACAAGGAGTACTTGAATAACACAGTCTTTAATAATCCACAGGAAAACCGAGAACAAGGAGGACATTCAACAAGTAGACCTGACAAACAAGAACTGAAAGTACTAGGGCTTTTAAAGGCAGGATAATTGGGGAGGAACGAGACACACCTGGAATCAAATTAATACAAACACCTTGAGGAAGAAACTGGGGCGAGGACATTCAACAAGTAGACCCGACAAACAAGAACTGAAAGTACTAGGGCTTTTAAAGGCAGGATAATTGGGGAGGAACGAGACACACCTGGAATCAAATTAATACAAACACCTTGAGGAAGAAACTGGGGCACAGGGGCAAAAACACACACGTGGGTGGGAACTTGGGAGGAGGTTCCGGAGGAGGACGCAGGGGGCCGACCGACGGTGGCGGAGCAGGTGGTGGAGGAGCCCGAGGTGGAGAGCCGATGAGCCAGGGCGACGGGGAGGATCCGGAGGTCCTAGACGGAGTAGATGGCGCCGACAACCGACGCGGAGATGTGGATCCGGGAGGACAGAGGACTGAGGTGGAGCCGAGGGGATGAAGGAGCTTGACGGAGACGGAGGGAATAGGCAAAGCCAGAGGAGTGGAGTCTCGAGGCGCAGGATGGCCGACGCCAGACCAAGGCGGAGCCGGAGGGATGAGGGAGCCTGGCAGAGCTAGTGGACTGCCGGGCCACGGCGGAGAGGAGGGAGCTAGGAGCCATGGTGGAGCCGACGGGTCAACGGGCTGAGGCGGAGTCCAGGCCTCAGAGGCTGGAGGCGGAGTCAAGGGAGACTCCAGCCACGGCGACGCTGGAGGATGGCCATCCCGATGGGAGTGGAACTGGCGCGGAGATCCATTTCTCGCCAGTGTCCACTCCACAAAGGCGGCAAATTCAGCTCGAGGGCCATCTTCGGACGGGAAAGTTAGTCGCAAAAGAGTGACCAGTGGGAAGAATGAGTCTGGAGCCCTGTGGTGCATATCCAAAAATGCATGCTGTTACTATAGCATTTATGGTACTCTCTTATTAGCCTGCTCTATTCTTGTGAATTATTAGATCAGATAAAACTCCAAAAGCCAAATCCTAAATTGCATTTATTTTTCAACTTAATATTAATAATGCATCCTTAAAGAACTTTCACGTCTTACACTCGAAGGAATGGGGTTACATCATTAAACCTCTTTCTATGATTGTGTGGTATATATTTATATTCATATTTGTGTGTGTGTGTGTGTGTGTGCGTATGTGAGCATGTATGTGTGTGTGTGTGTGTGTGTGTATCTGTGATTGCCATTAAATAGAGCTAAGCGGCTCTCTATGTCACTGATTCAATTCGCTGTCTGCTGCAGAGGCAACATGCCAAATATACTCTGTCAATCAAAACAGCCACACGACAAAGAGAGAGAGAGAGAGAGAGAGAGAGGATGGAGGGACAGATGGTTATTAGTTATCTCAATCAAATACATGGAAAGATATATATATATATATATATATATATATTTCTTTTTTTTTTTCTTGCCCCCCCTGACTCAAGCATCAAATGTCGCCCATGCATGGAATTATTTAGTGTCCGTCTTATTTTTCAGATTTCCTGTGAATCTGCGAGACTTCCGATTCATTAGCCACTATTTACATTTTCATTTATGCATTTAACAGATGCTTTTATCCAACGTGACTTAGAATAGAGGAACATAAGCAATTTGTCACAAACCCAATCATATTCATAGTATACAATGGCAGATTGATTAGAGATTAGGAAACAAGCTATGTAAATAACTAGAAGAACAAACCTATTTTCACTACAACCTAGTGTGTTTATGATTACAATAATAGATTAAAAAATATTATAACAAAAAACAGTTTTTAACATCAAGCAGCATAATGGACTACTGTATTTTTGTACAGATTATAAGCCTTGCACACATAAATGCCCGCTCTACATTGAAAATAAGGTGCATTCATCCACAGTATTTATAGTAAAATTTTGTGTTTTAATCATCCATAGCACATGACGGTAAGTGATTTGCAGGAAGCAGTTTAAAAATACTTTGAAAATGTTGGAATATTTTCGATGATTTGCGTATACAGTATGTGCCGTCAAATGTGAACATTTTCTTGGGTTTTTTTTTGTGACTTTGGACAATCACTGAGATAGATGTTTTTAATTTTCAAGTTTCCTTCCCTGCGCCGTTTGCCACAACACTCCCATTACATGAAAACCCAGGCATTTATTGTTTGCCAAGAATTAACGTCAAGCATATTCCTATTGAAAGCAGCACTTTGATAACCCATCCTCCCACCTCCACAAATTGTTTTCCGATCCACTTAGGGTTGTCTCCATGCCAACATATGACAAACACAACAATAGAGAGAGGAAAAAAAATAAATAAATAAATAAAAGGATGCATGTTTTTTGACACATTAAGCAAGAGATGCAGCCATCTCGCTAAGACAATAACAGGATTAGCTCAAGTGCTGTCAGTCTGTGAGCTGACATAATGCAGCCTTTAATATTCATAAAGAAATTAAGTGAAGAAGGTTTTGAGGGGCGGTGGACGGATGTGATGAAAGGGGAGGGTGCGCATGTATCCACATTAATAAATATTCATCGAGGCCTCTCAGCAGAGGTGAGAATGTAATCAAGTAGGGTATTGATGTGCCGGCAGCCTTTATGAACCTGGTCTAAATGAGCTTTCCAATAGAGAATGTGACCATAAGACCTGCCTCAAACAAGCAAAGAGGAGAATACATCGCAAAACAAGCTGCGCTTCTTCCAGCTTGTCCATTATCTTTTCATTCACTGTAACTGCTGGGTTGATAGTAAAAACTGTCATCGACATTATTATTTGAATTTGACAGGGTCATGAAATGGCTTTTATTTTTTACTGGTGAGAACTATGTGTGCAAACTGTTCATGAGTGCATAAATTTTGCAGCGCCGACTGACAACATATCATGTCATTTATAAAAAAATAAAGAGTAATTGACGATGAGATTGAGCTGCTGGTCAAATTTAACATCCATATTGACCCTTTTTCAAAATCAAATTTTAACAGCAAGGATTTTTGTAGTGAAGTGCAAGTAACTATTTGAACCCAGAGCTCTCGTTACAGCACTCTAATACTACCCTTTTTTGGCCCTCTCTTTCTCATTCTCTCTGCTCACACACCTCTGATAGTCATTTTCACCATGCTGTACGGGTGCTAGGCCACTGTCTAAAGTTTGTCATCTTGGCCCGTTTTGTTGGTAATTAGCCTTAATCACGACTGCTCTGCAGGGGTCGGTGGGGGCGCAGGACTCTCAGCTGGAAGGGAAAGAGAAATTATCTCAGCTGTGTGAATGTGATCAGATAGCGCTGAATAAAATAAAAAGCCATGCAGAGCCG